TATCTAAGCCTCAGTTTCCTCATTTGTGAAATAGGGACAATAGCCCCATTTTCTGAGAACTGTTGTGAGGATGAAAAGATAATGTACATGATACATACAGCATGATACATACACTTTTGGGTCCACACGAAGCACTCAGTCAATGGTAGCTGCAATAACAGCCCCATCGAGCCCCGAGATGTGTCCTTTCGGCCCTGGAGTAGTTACAGTGTGCCAGGGCTACCGCCCCACCTCCGATTAGGCTTTCACAATGAGGATAGCTGTGAAGCATCACTAAGCAAGTATGGCCACAATTTTTAAAGTTGTTAATGTTTATGACACCTACTTTACATTTCGGTGGTAATAAAAGCATTACAAATGCATGTTTGAAGGCCATTAATAATGTCGCCAGACTGGAAACAAGGCTTCAGAAAAAGCAGAAGCAAAGTAAAACAATTCATTCTAAAGTTTTTAAATACGTATTTTTCTTATTTGTATTTTGTTACAAAAAGCAATCACCTTCGTAATGTTTGAACAGATTCAAATAAACCATTATGGTTTGAACACATCTTTAAAAGATTTTTCCTTTGAATACCAAATGACTTCACATTACTGTCCTTTGATCTATTTTCCCATAATATTCTAAATTAAAAGAAAATATATTTCCATGTAACCACGTCAGTATTCTCTAACTCAGCCAACTACAGGTTGCAACAGAAAAGATTTTTGTAAAGAAGAAGTAACACTACCAAACCCATGAATCTCTTCACAGAATAATTTTATTCATTTGAGCAGTAAAAGAATTTATGTTTCCAATATCTAGCATCGTATTTTCAATTCAATCTAGGTTCGAGGTGTAACACTCTGAGGAATATTTTCAAAGTTCATAGTACTATCCCTGCCCTTAAGAAATCTAATTTCATTATCCTCTGATTCCAGCTCATACTTCCAGCATTTTCACAAATTGACACCCTAACTGTAGCAACTGACCATCTGTGTCTAAGGTTCAAAACAAATAGCATTTCAGAGTCTCCACTTGGAATAATGATGGATCTGCCTCTGACAATCACTTTAGATGGAATTTTCTGTCATATGCCCCCAAGAGATGAGCCTCATTTCTCAATCAAAACAGTGGAGAGCAAAGGAGCCTAGTTTCAGCTGAGCTTGTAGGACATCGCCCACTTCAGAAGTTATTCAACAGCCCTGTTCTATTGCCTACCAGCCATGCAGCCTCGAGCAAGTTACTTAACCTCTGTGTGCCTCAGTTTCCTCATCTGTAAAATGTGCACGTTTTCATGTGAATAAATTTGAAGAGTTTAGAAGAGTACCTGGTCAATGTTAGCTGTTGCCATTATTAGTCATAACCAATGGTGGTAATATTGTTATTACCTTCTGGAACACCCTAACCCAAAGTGAAGATGCTAACGAACTATCTCAGTGGAGAGATCAAGTAGGCAGATGGATATAGCAGCACAGAGCTGGTAGCAAAGAGCTCAGCAGGAACCTTTGGTAGTACTGTTGTATAAAGGCTACATGAATAGTTGAGAACACCTAGGAGAGACTCTGAGGAATGAAAATGACCTAAGACAAAGCCCTGAGGAATGCCAATATTAAAAGCCGGGTAAAATAGGAACCTACAAAGTAAATTCAGAAAGAACTACCAGAGAGACAGGACAAAGAGCAGGAGAGTGGAGTGTCATGGCCGCCAAGAGTCCAGCTTGTTTCTGGGAGAGGTCAGCTGTGTGCTATGTGGTGAGATAAAGCATTAAGGTGAATACAAAGAGGTGTCCTCTAGATTTGACAACAGATAGATCATTGGTGACTTTGACTAGAGCTGTTTCACTCAGGCACGGGTATGGATGGAGGAAGCCATTTTGAAATAAAAGGCTTTTTCCTTTCTGAGTTCAACAATTGGGCCTGGGGACATTGTTTGGACAAAGGGGCTGCAGAAATTCCAGCAGGCCCACATGGCTGATTTCATCTTTCCAGGATGCATCTCTGTTATTTTTAATTCTAGTTAGAACATCTCAGACAGGAAGGATGTGTGGAGCTTATCCCCTGGACAATTACTTCATAAATCACACACATTAGCCAGTGATCAGGTTCAAGGAAAAAAAGAGAGAGGGCGGGAAGGAAGGAGGAATGAAAGAGGGGAGAAAGAAAAAAAAAAAGGTTTGAAGAAATGAGAACCAAATGTGATTAATTCTTCTGGTTATTGTGTGTCAAGATTTCATGAAAACTGGAGTTTGAAGTGTTAGAGAAGGGGTCTTCTTGACTGCTGCAGTTCATGTCACCTTGATGAGGCAGGTGGTGGCACAGGGTGGGAAAGGGGCTGCCTGCTGCATGTCCTTGGTGCTTTACTGAGCTTTGCAGGCTCAGCCTGGTGCGGACTCTGCATGTCCAGTATTCAACTGGAGAATTCTTCTCCAGAAAAATGAAAACTATTAAACCACATATATACATGTCCATCTTTTAAATCATTTTACTTTATGATCTAGTTCATTTTAATTTTAACTGATATTCTTAATCAATAGTGACTGAGAATATTTTGGCTTTTAACTTCTAAGTATTTAATGATATATAAGCAAACACTGGAGAAATGTTTTTACAATAAGAGGAATTATTTTGTATTTTGAATAATTTCACCTTCTAGTTTATCACTGTAAGTAAGATGTTCAGAAGTAAATGCTAAGTATTCTATTCAAGGATGGGATCTAGTTCCTGTTAGTCAGCAGTGGCCACTGGACATGTCCATTTCACATGCTTTGATCCTATTTGCAAGGTAACATCTTAAGAAAATTTTCTCAGTAAGTAACAAGAGTAAAGAAACCAGACATTTTACTCCTGGCTGACCGGTTTTGCAATCTTGGTCAAGTTACTTAACCTCTCTGTTTCAATTCCTCCTTCAGGAAGTGGTGTGAATAATCTTAACCTCCCCGTATCTCAGAAATAATTTGAGGCCAGCTAATTAACTCTACTATATGTGATGTAATTGCGGGAAAAGAGCTATGAAAATTTGAAATATCACTACCATGGTCCAAGTTAGCGATTACCATTGCAGAACTACCTTCTAGTTAGGCCTTTCGAAGACCACGTTAACTCTTTCAGGCAATATCTTCCTATATTGGTGGAATTGCCACCATCTATCTGCTAGTTCAATTTTAACAAGGTAACCAAAGATACCGGAGATACAGCAAAACCACCCCAGGGAATCACAACATATGGGAATGGCTGACTTATTGCACTTATTCAAAACCTCACCTGCAAGTATGCTAGTTAATGTGATCCAGTCCATATGTAGGCAGCCACTGGGGCCCAGAAAGAAAATCTGACTCAACTGTGTGTAAAAAATAGTTATAATCCTCCCATTGCAAGGCGCTTCTTCCTTTGGAAGTGCATGTCTCACCTCCATGAGGTAGACATTTTCTTCCCACCTTATAAAGGGAGAACTTGAGGCTCAGAGAGATCAGGTAGTTGGTCCAAAATCACATCACTGGTAAATGCGAGGGGCAGGATTAGATTCTATGTCTTCTGATGCTTTTCTAGGATTTTTTTTCTTACTATGTCAACGTGATGATGGATATCAGTTTATGGAAAGAAGAGAATATTTTGCCCTAAATACTCCATTCAAATTTCACATCAAAGGAGAAACGTTTTTACAATTGATTTGATATCCTACAGGTGGCCATAACTATTGGAACTATCCACCCCACTGCCCTCTTCCTCTCCTTATCTCTTTACAAATCAGGATCAAAGTTACCAGATAAGAATCCTCAACTTGTAAACAAAGTAGACCCTGGACAGTCACAGATTGATAAGCATATGGGCCCCTGAGGGTCTCTGACACAGAATGTTACAGGAATTTGAATCACATGCACTGAGGCTGGTGTGTGGGGCTGGATCTCTTAGCTAGTGAGGGAACCTGGCCTGCCACTCAGCATTCAGATATCAGTGTGGCTTCTGTGTTCCCCGTTCATAACCATATACCAATTCTATGGAGAAAAATTACACTCTAAAATGACATTCCAAAATTTGAGCATTTCCATGTCTTGGGACATATTCCTTACAAATTTCAAGGGTTCACTTGTATTGGATTTCCCAGCTTTAATTTTGCTTTAGTAGCCAGAAACTCAAGGGTAATGTTAGTGCTCATAGTAGTAACTAACTCATCTCAGGTTAACACATTTGTTTTCCTTCTACTTGGCTTCTGACCAGTGGTGGCATTTAAAATATATATACCATTTCTCATTTTTATCATTCTATTTTTGTATGCATTTTGTTGTTGTAAATTGTCTCAAATCCTTTCTGAAAGTAGAGGGATCTTAAAGCTCAAATAAATGTTGAAACTAGGCTTCCTAGAAAGAAAAGAATTAAGGTCAATGATTTCTAAAAGACAACCATGAATGTTTTTAGAATTTTTCCAAAATCTAAGACTATCTGATGGTAGCCAAGAATTATGCTTTGAGTGACACCTAATGGTCGAGAAAGTCACTCTCCTTTTTCCAGAGAACTCAGGCTAGTGTTTCTCAAAGCTTGGTTCTTGGACCACCTTCGAATCATCTGGATGCCTGTTAAAAATGCAGAGAAATTCCTGGGTTCTGTCCCACCTACTGGAATCTCTGGGCCTGGCCACCGAGGAATCTCTATTTTTCACAACTTCCCCAGGTGATTCAGATGTATACTCTGATTCAAGTGCTGCCAAGTCAGATATACACACAGGGCTGTCAGACCTGATGACACCCCCAGGAAGTTAGACGTGGCCAAGGCGAGGGGATGGGTTAGGCCCGGGCTGTGCAGTGACATCCCCGATCTGTCCATCAGGGGAGGGGCTGGGGTAACGAGGGCAGCGAACCCGCCATCCCCGGGGTGCTGGCGGCTGCCCTCTTGGCAGCGAGGGTTGGGGTGGCGGTGGCTTGGGACCTCGAGGCGGTCGCCCCGCCTTGTCCCCGACGTAGAGAGAGGTCGCGGAGCGCCGACGGCTGCGCGGCGCGGCTCCTAACGCCTGTGCTTCCGCCCCGCAGACGAACCCAGCTGCTGGAGTTGTCCCGCTGCCGCCCCCGCAGGTCTGCCGGAAGTAGGCGTCGCCCTCGAAGACGTCCTCTCGCCATTCTCTCCATCACACACAGCCCCACCCTCCGACCCTTCCCACCAGATAAGCCCAGACCCGACTTGGGATATCAAAAGGGAACACGACGTTAGGAAACCAAAGGAGCTTTCAGCCGGCGGCCAGAAGAAGCAGCGCCTCGGGGAGCAGAGGGAGCGCTCGGCGAGCCCGCAGAGGGCCGCGCGGCCGAGGCTCGAGGAGGCGCCCGGCGGCCAGGGGCGGCCCGAGGCCGGCAGGCCCTCCTCAGAGGCCAGGGCG